GAAAAATTTTTGTTAATTTCAACTTAAAAATAAAAAAAATAATTAAATTAAACAAAATTATCTTTTCAAAAAATAAAATACACTAATTAATAGTACATATTACATTAATATATTTTTAACTTACTAATTAATTGTAAAAAGAAATAAAATAAATTAAATCATAAGATAATGTCATAAAGAAATAAAAACAATAAAATAGTTTAACTTTTAATTTATATTATTTTTTTTACAAAAATCAAAAATCATTTTTGGGAAGATTTCGATTAATAAATTAAAAAAGAAAGGAATATTTAAATTTTTAAAAATTTATCAGATAAATAAAAAAAGAAACATGCTAAAAACCTGAAGATATCCATCTCCAGTCGTTATCAAAAGAAAGAAGAATTCTATTTTAGAAACAAAAAAAGAGAATTTATTTTTAAAAGAGATATAAATTGTGTAAATAAATTTTGTTTTATATTCAAAAAAAAGAAAATTAAGATTTATTTAAGGATGTAGAAAAAATACAAGGTGTATGTGAAATAATCTTATAAAATTTTTGTATTCTTCCATTAATATTTAAAAATATTTAATTTGAAATAAACTTAATGAGATTAAATTTTAAATACTCAAAAAAATTAAATGGTTGAAAACCATTTAATGAAAGATGGAAAGTTTAGAAAAGATGGCCAACCAAATTTTGGAAATACTTAAATTCAAAGCTTGACTATATTTATATTAGAGTTAACACAAAAAAATTATAAATTTTTTATTTTTAAAAAGATTAAGAATTAATTTCTTAAAACAAAATAATTAATTACTTAACTATGAGACTTTTAAAAGTACTTACTTAGATTGTCAAAATCGAGAATTGAAAAAATTATATTTCCAAAAAATTTTTCAATAAAAGACTAAAAGATACCAAAATTTACGAAAAATAAACAAATTTTCAATAAAAAGAGCAATAAATTAAATTGCAAAAAATAAATTCGGGGAAAGGAATTGGAGATGGCTTTACTGAAAAATTTCTTTTAAAAAAATTCTTTTAGCACTTGCATGATATTGGATATATATTTATAATTCTAAAAATATTAGAAAGCAAGAGAGGGAAGGGAAGAGGAGGTAGTACCAGCTGTTAAGCATTCCATTAAGAAAATATAATCTAAAAAATTATTTTTAGTTTAATGATGTTTTTTGCCCTTTTATTTAAACTGAAAATTTAATGTTTGGCCAGTTTTCCTTTTATTTTAATTGAACTTTATATAAAGTACAAAAAGATTATTTGGAATTTGTTTGAAAAATGAAAATTGGAATTTAAGTGTTTTTATTGGAATAAATTTTAAATAAATAAAAATTAATTTTCTAAATTTAAAAATATTTAAACAAATTTGACAATGGCTATAATTTAATAATGGCTATCTATTAATTACCCTGGGTAATTATCGTTTCAACCTTTCGCTGGAGGGGGTAACTAATAGAGGTGGGGTAATTATTTGAGGGAAGGTAATTAATTTTTGTACTGAATTAAATGTCATTCGACTCGACTCAATTCTCGGATAGTGACTCGATTCTCTCTATTATTCTAAAACAAAAAAGTGTATCAAAAACCCCAAAACAAAAAATACCAGAAACAAATTGTGGCAATAATTTTAAACACCCTGTCCATTACATGAATAAAGAACGGATAGGTTTCTCTAAAAATTTTTTAGAACGAAAATTTTTTTATTCCAATTGAAGTATACCAAATTGTTTAAAATACAAAAATATCTTTTTAATAATAAAAAAATTATTCATAAATTTAATTCCTTTTTTTGCAGATGAAATATTTTCTCATTAAAATTTCCAGCTTTAAATAATAACAAAGAAATGACTCAAATTAATTTTTCATTATTATTTTCATTTTCCAAATTTGTTTAATTAAATTATATATTTTTAGATTTTTTGTTTCTAAATTTGTTTTAATGTTTTTGGCATATTTTGGAAAAAATATTTCTTTCCTGAATTTTCAAGTATGTAACTAAGCTAATAAATAAACAAAAATAAATTGAAAGAAAATTATTTTATTTTAAATTTATTTAAGGAAAATAACAGCTGTTATTTTTATTAGTTACCCTGTTATTTTTAAATTTAGATTTTTATATAAAAATGATGTAAATAAATAAATAATTTATTTTTATTTTCAGACAAATAAATAACTAATTTGTTTGTTTATTTAAAAGAATAATTTAAAAATAAATATATTTAAAAAATTATTTAGATGATGTACCATAATTAGTAAAATTAGAATAATAATTAAATTACCCTTTAATTTTTTATCTTAAATTTTAATTGATGCTAGAAATTATTTATATTTTTATTTGGTACTTTTCCGTTATACACTTGCAAATTTTTTCAACTAGGATTCATTTGCCCGTAATATTGTTCAGAATCATCGAATCACATCATTCGTAATTTATTGTGTTTTTGACCCCGAAATTATGCTTTGCTCTCAATTATTTTTCAATTTTCGGGGATTAAGTATATCTCATGGGGTGTTTATATATTTGTATATTATATTATATATTAATAATAATATACCTAATAGAGATCGAGCTGGACCTGGACCAAGGCCTGGGTTTTTTCTGTACCCAGAGTCCAGGTCCAGGCATTTTTTTACCTTCCTGGGTTTTTCCTGGACTACAGGCCCAGGATCCAGTCCAGGTCAAGAAATCAAATCCAGAGTCCAGGAACAGGTCCAGGCTTTTCAAAAATCTCGATCTCTAATACCTAATATAAAACAATTTCTACAAGAATTTTTTTAAAATTATCTAGGAGATTTAAATTTAAAAACTCTCATTGTTGTTCTTTTTTTTCCATGACTGTATAAAATATTTTAAATTTTTAATAAAATTATGTAAAGGCTATAGCTTTATAGCTTATTGTATATTTGGAAAAGTTTGATCAGGTTATCTAGGAGGATTTATAACTTATATCTAGGAGGATATAAGTTATCTAGGAGCTTAATTGAAAAGCTAAAAATAAAACTACGAGTCGAGATGGGCTTGCTGAGTATCTCGGGATCGTCCTTTTGTCAATTTCCGGTCGATTTACATCATTCTTATTATTTAGAAATAAGTCCAAAAAATTACATTGAATTTAAAATCACTTTTATTATAAAGGGCATTGTTGCCCTTTTAATTCACGTGAACATTTAATTAAGACTTAAATTACAAAATATTAAATGAAATAAAATAATGAAATCAGGCAAAGTGCATTTTGGCCGCCTCTTTAAAATCCCTCGCTAAATTTAATCATAGAAAAATAAAATAATTCTTTCGAAAAAATATGAATTCCTTAATAATGCTTATTATTTTATTAAATAATTATATGTTAATATTTTGTGTTTTTACTGGAAATAATTATAGAAGTAAGTATTGTTTTATAATGTCTGAATTGACTAAAACATCAAAATTTCTCCAATCTTCGTAATTTTTACCATTTACATTTTGTCTTATCAATTGTAGTAGTACCTAGATCAAATTTTACTCGATATGCTTTCTGAATTAGAGCAAGGATTTTTGAAATTTTAATAGATTTATAATTATTAAAGATTCATTTTTATTTAATTTTCTGCTAAATTAAAAGCAATAGAAATTTTAAACATTTTATTTTTAACAGTCCAATCAACTCTTCCGAACTTCAACACAAATTTTGGAGACTTTCAATCGAAAACTCAACCAAATAAACAAATAATTGGATTTAATTGGAAGACTGGAAATTGTAAATATTTTTTGATCTGATTAGATAATTCAAATAAAAATAATTTTTTAGCTAATTTTTTATCAACAAATTCAAAAGAACGACATGGAAATAATTCTATTATACAGTCGTGGAAAAAAGTATGGAAGCACTAGAAAAATTTTATTTAATTCTTAATTTTTCATTCAAAAAATACGTTCTATATACCAATCGAAAGCTCTGTTCGTATCTCAGTTGACATGTTTCTGCATTTTTCATGAAAATGAAAATTGGCCGAGATAATCCGGATCCAAATCCCACTTTTTCGGAAAAATTTTTCGGAATAAATTTAACAAACCCATTTGATAAAGCATATTTTTCTGAGTATGTATCACAAAACCGCTTAGAAATATCTTTTTCCGGAGCAGAGATATGATTTTTTGAAAATGGCATTTTTCGCTTAAAAATTGAATTTTTTGCAAAAATAGACAAAAAATGCCATTTTCAAAAAATTATATCTCTGCTCCGGAAAAAGATATTTCTAAGCGGTTTTGTGGAAAATACTCAGAAAAATATGCTTTATCATTTGGGTTTGTTAAATTTGTTCCGAAAAATTTTTCCGAAAAAGTGGGATTTGGTATATCCGGTAGATCCGGATTATCTCGGCCAATTTTTATTTTCATGAAAAATACAGAAACATGTCAACTGAGATACGAATAGAGCTTTCGATTGATATATAGAACGTATTTTTTGAATGAAAAATTAAGAATTAAGAAAAAATTTTCTAGCGCTTCCATACTTTTTTCCACGACTGTATTAGCAAGAGCTAATAAAGATAAAGAAGAGTTTAATCATGAATTTCCTTCAGAAGAGCCTGGTAGTTTTAGAAATCAAATTAATATTAATTTACTAGTTAAAGACAATTTATCTAAAAATCTTTTTTTTAAATATGGCTCGATATTAAATTCAGTCTAAAAAACTTAAAAAAATGTTTCAGTTCCCATTTATAAATTTTCTAAAATAATCGAATTTAGGGGGACTAGCAGATTATCCGTGGGGAACCGAATAAATTTGAACTTTGAAGAATTTTCTCTTCATATAAAGAATCAGATTCAAAACCCCTAAATTCTGTAATTTCCATACAAGGATTGAAAAAGGCAAAAATTAACTTTGTATATGAAAGGAGTGCTCCGATCGCATTTTTTCTTACTTCCTTATGTAGACCGCCTCGGAGTGGTCAAATTAATCAAAAATTTAAAAATAAATTTACCTCTTATTTTTAAGTATATAATAAAAGTAACGTAATGATCTTACTCGAAGCTTTATTTAATGTTTGTAAAATACATGAATACAAAAATTTTGAGGAGATATATAATGCTTCAAATTATTTAATGAATAATAATAATAAATATAATTTATTAGAATATATAATTAATAAAGGAATTGATATAAAAATAAAAAGACAAATAATTCAATTATTTTACTTTTTTGATTATAAAATTGAGGAAGAAAGAGCTGATGAAGAAGGAATTAATAAAATTATTAGAATGAAGGAACTTGATTCAAAAATGTGTTTTTGGGCAGTTAATGTTTATTTATTAAATTTATATGCATCTATGGGTGGGGAAAATAATAAAGTTGAAAAAGTTCGAAATATGTTTTATAAACAAACAAAAATTGATGTTAAACGGTTATTGAGAGGATTATTACAAAAGTTTTGTTTTTTTTAATTTAAAAATAAATAAATTATTGGGTAAAGGGGGTTTGAAGATTACAAAAAAATTTTTATTTGTATGAATCCTTTCAAATAAAAAACACTTTTCAATCCTTGATTCGTGTCGGGTCACGGATCAACCAGACAAGTCAAGGAAAAGACAGGTCAAGAAACGACCAACTCAAGGAACGAGCAAATCATGGAATATTTTAAAAATCAGAATTAGTTGAAAAATCTGAGTTTTTCAGAATTTTTTTTAAATTCCGTCTTTTAAAGTATTCTAATTTTTTTAATTCTTATTTTTTAAAAACATTCAGATTTTTCAAAAAATTCCGATTTTTAAAATATTCCATGATTTTGTTGTTCTTTGACTTGTCTATTCCTTGAATTGGCATTCCTTGAGTTAGCATTCCTTGATTTAGCCCTCACCCGACAGATTAAAGAGTAATTGCCCAATTTGTCACAATTTATGGTAATAGTTTGGAATTCGCCCCCCTTTTTTCCTTTCTATTTTTTCTAAGTTTTTTTCATTATATGGCAAATTATATATCATTCGAAAGAGCTCTTCAAGCTGAGTCGAATGACGTTAAGATCAACGAAATCCGACTTAAGTGAACAAAGTTGTGACCGTTTATTTTATCCCCTTGCGTTGACACAAAAAGTTTGCCCAAACTAGGATTTGGCTTCATAATTTTGGTAAGATTGATCAGATCTGGCCAATCATGGTATAATTCGACCACGCTCGAAGAGCTCTTTCGAATGATATATGATAAATTATGTATCAAACAAAAAAGCTCAAAATGGTCAGGGAAACAGTGAAAAAAGGGGGGGCGAATTCCAAACTATTACCCAATTTATTAAAAAACTTTGTTTAAAATATACATAAATTAATTTACTAAACTTTTCAGTAAAACTTTAAATGAAAATGAAAGAAAATATATAAAAGACGGGGTTATTGGTGTCACAAAATATATTTTTAAACAATTTACTAAACATAATAAAATTTTTGTTGGTGGTGGATGTTTTGAACATTTTGGAAAGGATTGTTTGGATGAAAATTAATTTAATTTAATATAAGATTTATTTAATAGATTTATTTATATATTTAAAGTATATTTTTAATTAATTTTAAACGTTTAATGTCTGGTAAATATTTTTTTATATCAATAAATGTCTGTTTTTTGGCTCATAAATAGACCTCAGACAAAAGGGGCGCATAATTTGATGAATTTCATTTATTAAAAAATATTTTTAATTCTTCTAATATTTTTTGACACGGAGATTATATTGAATAAGTTATTATCAAACATTCCTCTTTTACTTTTCAATTTCTTAAACAAAAACAAAAACCTTTCTAACCTTTCTACAAAGTATAAGATGATTAATTTTATTTAACAAAATTATTTATTATCAAAGCAAACACACACCAAATATTCCCCAATTAGTTTTGGGGGTTCAACTTTGTAAGGGGCAGAGCATTTTTATTTTTTAAGTGCAGGCAAACATCGATTGCTGGTTTGTGGCTGCATTTGTCTTTGCAAAAAAAATTTTTTTTTCTACATTTATTTCTTCATGAGAATCATTAAAATTATTTTAAATGTAAAATTTTCTTCCGCTAATTGATTAAGGAATTGTTAAATTACAAAAAATTGACACGTAGAAAAGAATGATAAAATAATTTTTGTTAAATTTTAGAAGAACTATTATATTTTACATTTTTATTTTTATTTAATTACATACTCCAATAAAATTTAAAAAATTAATTAAATTATTTTCTAGTTAATTTTTAGATTTTTAAAATTAATTTAAAAATAAAATATGGACTCAATAAGTAGTAAATCATCATTTAATTTTTCTTCAAGTTCTTCATGTTCTGAAGAGGATTTTGAAAATTTGTCAACAAACTTTGTTTCTTCAAACGATACACAATCGTTAAAAGAAGAATTGAAGTTTTATAATGAAAAAATTGTTGGATTGGAAGTATTTTAATTAAATTAATATTTTTTGGAAAAATAAGGGAGAAGGGGGGGGGGTTAATAATTTATGGAAATTAAAAAAGATTTTGTGTAAATTTCAGAAGTCCATCCAAAAATATAAATTTAAAAAATTATTTTAAGCAAAATTAGGTAATTTAAATAAATTTTTAGAAAAATTAAAATAAAAAATATTTTTGTGGGGAAAAGAGAATTTCTGATTAATATTAAGCAAGTCCATCCAAATAAAATAAATTTCAAAAATTATTTTAATTAAAATTCTACAAAAATTTAAACAAATTTTTAGAATCAAGTAAAAGAGAATAATGCTCTTTTATTACAAATTGATGCAAAATTGGATAAATTTGTTTGTTAAATTTTAAATTTTTTTTTAATTTAAATTTAGTTAAATTTAAATATTTTCAAAGAAGAAAAGAAAAATATTTTGCATAAAATGTCTCCTGCTCCTCAAATTAATAATAATTTACCTATTTTTAATTCGGCACAAAGTAAATTAATTTTTAAATAAATTTTAATTTTATTTTTTTATGTCTTTAGATTCTTTTGCTAATAATTGGCTAATTCTGCCAGAAAAATTTGTTTCTTCAGCCAATACATTTCCGTTAAAAGACGAGGCAGAAATTTCCAAATCGGAGGCTGATTTACTTAAAGTATTTAATTAAATGTTTTGTCATAAAAATGAGTGACGGGAGTTTTTTAATGAAAGAAAAGAATCTAAATTAATTATATGTAGTAGTTAGGGTTGCCGTTTTCGAGTCGGGCCGACGTTCGTAACATTTTTTCAGGCTTGTTTTTCGAGTCGGGCCTGTGCGAGTCACTTTCGGGCCAAATATCTTAGGCCCGACTCGATCTTTCGGTCCGAGTCGGTTCATTTTGGCAACCCTAATAATGTAGTACTAATAGAAAAATATTAACGATAAAAAAGTAGATGAAATTTAATTTTTAATTTATTTTTTAATTTTATTAAAATTATAATATAGGAAGAAAACACAAAAAATATTTCGAATGAAGAAAAGGAAAATATAAAAATTGTACACGAAATGGTTCCTGCTCCTCAAATTGAAGATTACAATAAAAATTTTCCTGCTATTAAATTAAAATGGCCAGAACGTAATTAATTTAAATTTTATTTAAATTCAAAAAAAAGATCTATGAATTTAATTTTAGTGTAAATAATTTCTCTTTAAATTAGTAAAAGTTATTTAGTCCTTAACCAAAAATTAAATACTTGATTGAAAATATTATAAATAAAATGTCAGATTTATAATAAGATCTTTTGGCATTCAATTAATATTTGTAACGGCTCCACAAAAATAATTTTTTCCTTTAATTTTTTAGCGGGTAGCAATTTCTTTTTACTTGGTAAACAAATATTTGATTATTCAATTCTACAACTTGATAATTACCCTTTTATTGTAAAATTAATTTTTTTTATTCCTAATCTTTTATTTTTCAAAAAAGAAAATAATTAATTTAAAAAATAATAAATGGGCGAATATTTTACTTGATTGGGGTTGTTGTAGAAATAATTGTGTAAATATAAGTCAACGAGGATTTTGTCAAAAAGGGAATGGAATTGTTCGTTTACGAGATAATATTGCTAAATATTATCTTTCTACTGTTAAAAATGGTTATTTTTAGGGTACTTTTCCGTTAATCGGCCGCAAACTGAGTATTAGCCGACTTTAAAGAGCTATAACTTTTTGATGCTTGATCCAATACAGATGAATTTTATATCATTCGAAAGCCCTCGATAAGCTCTATCTTTTACCCAACTGTATAGATCAGGTCTGATCACTCATAAAAAATTGCATGTCAAAAAGTGCAAGAAATCGTTGTTTTACACTATTATCGGGGCATAACTTTTTTATGCTTGATCTGACCTGTTCAATACAGTTGGGTAAAAGATAGAGCTTATCGAGGGCTTTCGAATGATATAAAATTCATCTGTATTGAATCAAGCATCAGAAAGTTATAGCTGTTCAAATTCAGCTGTTGCTCAGTTTGCGGTCTAACGGAAGAGTACCTTTTTTAGATTAAAATTTTAAAATAATAATATTTTTTAAAAGGTATCAATAGATCATTTAAAATAATTTCTGAAAAAGGATTTACTCCCTCAAAAGAAAATAATATTTTATATTACTTTGAAGTTAAAATAATTCCTGAAATTGAAGAAGAATGCGGGTATGGAAGGATTAAATTAAATTTTAATTAAAAAATTTAGTTGGGAAAATTTAAAAATTTTTAGTTGGGCAGTAGAAATTGGTTTATTTAAAGACAATTCCCAACAATTCCGTGTTTGTAGCAACGGTCTATTTTGTTCAAAGACGAGTTTAAATTCTCCATATAAACAAATTCCGATGTTTGGATGTTTAATTAAACCTATGGATATAATTGGATGTGGAATTTATTTTCCACAATTAAATAATGAAAATAATTCTGCTCAACTTTTCTTTACTCTTAATGGAAAAAAGAAAGGTGGAATTAAAATAAAAAATATTTTTTTAAATTTATTTTTAAAGGAAAAACAATTTTTGTTGAGTTAAATGATGATAAGGATTCTCTTTTGTTTTATCCAAATGTTAGTCTTTTTTGTTGTTCAGTTGAAGCTAATTTTGGTACAAATAAATTTCTTTACAAAATTGGTGAATTTAAGGAATGAATAAATTTTGAAGAAATAATTATTATTTGTTTTTAACATTATATATATTTGTATTGTCTACAATTATTTGTTTTTAATATATGCCTTGGTTATTTTGAAGTTTTTTTAATAATTGATAAAATAAATTGAAATTATTATGGAAATAAAACAATGAAAATAATTTTTAGTAAAATATACCTAAATAATTTTTGGAATTTATACAAACACAATAACTAAAATTAAAAAGTTAAAAAATCCTAAAAATTCTCTTTCATACTAATTAAAATATTTTTAAAAATAAATTAGCAGGCTTTTGCCAGCTGAAAAACGATGAAAATAATTTTATATTAACAGATAATTTTAGTGTTATTTAATAAACAAAACAATGATTATTTTAAAACCAAAATAAATTCATTTAATTCGTTTATTAACTTAAGAAGCCTATCATAGCCAATAAGCCAGAATTTCTTTTTTTTAAAATCTTTTATCTTTATTAACATCTACCAACTAAATAATCCAAAAATCAAATATTTTTTTATGATTTTTCTAATAATAAATCCATTTTTAAATCAATCAAACAATAATTCAAAATCTACTACCTCCGTTCTTTATAATTTTTGTGGTCATTTGTTTGGCCTGTCATTATTCTTCTTACATTAGCAGATGAGCAAACAATCAAACTGTCACGCTAAGAAAAGAATTAGTATTTTACGGAAAGGAGTAGAGTAAATATTTACTGACCGGTATATTTTTATTTGAAAATAAAAATATATCCCGTTGTTCCTCAATTTTTTTTTACTTCAATGTCACTTGAGTTATAGATTCTCTTTTCCTTTATGAATTCACACCTTTCAAAAATTTGTTAAAATAATAAATTTGTAATTTATAATAAACGTAGTTTTCCACAGCCTCATGGGGCTGTATTTTTCAACAGTCCTCCAGACTGGGGCTGTATTAGTTGGGAAAGTGGCTCTATTTTTCAACTATCCTCAAAGGTGGGACTGTATTAGGGAGTGGGGCTCTAATTGAGAGAGGGGCTCTATTTGGAAAAATACGGTATATCTAGTGTTTACATTTGTGAATATTTGTGAAATGCCTATTATCAAAACCAAATAAAGAAATAATTTGTTCACTTGTTTTAATTTACAAGACTATTTGAGAATTTTAGACCTGAAATCTACACCCTACTCTATCCGTGAAATTTTTTAATTACCCAATAAATACTTTTTTGGATGACTGAATGTTGCCCAAAAAATTTATATCATTAAAATAATTCTTTGTTTAATTTTTAAAAGAAATCTTTTCAATTCTTTAAATTATTCTCATCTTCTTCTAAAAAATATTTCCATAAATATCTCTTTAAATCCACTTAAAAATTACACATCATTACATGTACTAAACACAACTAAACACAATTCACAATATTTCTTTAAATAAAAGAGCAGGTCACGACGCAAAAATATTTTTAGTTGAAATTATTCGGTATAATTTAAATGCCTTCGTTAGATTCATTGCCACCTCCGGCAACAATTGCTTCCCTTAATATTAACAACAACAATAGTAATTATTATAGTAACAATCGTTGGTCTAAATTACCAAAAAGTCCCAATGCTAGAATGGAATTAATTACAAAATCGAGGAATTTTAATGTTAATAAAGCTGAGAGTTTGGACAGCAATTCTATAAAGTATTTTTAAAATATAATTATTTTTATCTGATTATAAGAACCCATAAATTTAGCAGAGAATTCAAAATATATTTTTGTAAAGCAAATAGCTATTTATTTCCTAAGGCTGTGCAGTAGGCGGCCTGATGTAATGGCTAACACATTAGTCCGGTTTACTGAAGATGCTGGTTCGCTCCAAGCCGCCGATTAACCTTAGCACTAGCTAAAGGAGAGAAATAGCTATAGTCCAGATGATTTACTTTTTCAAAAACTGGGAAAGCAATACTATTTAATTCCCTGAATGAACAAGAAACTATCAAAAATTCAAAAAAATATTTTAGCGTTGCAGTGAATCAACAACAACTTCCCCGTGTTCTTTTAAGGAGGAATGATTATTCAGACATAGGTGAACTTTTAGGCCAAGAACAATTAACAGGAAGTAGTCAAGTATTGTGTCATTATCGAAATATCTCAACTTTATCAACAACGTCCTCAGCACTTCGCCCAATTTCTTTACTTTGTCAATTAGGTTGTTGTCAACATATTCTGGGTGGTTGTTGTACTTTAGAAGATAATAATGGACATTCTTCCTCTTCTTCTTCCTCCTCTTCTTCCTTTTCTTCATCCCCTCCTTCATCATCTCCTACACAATCATTAGTTAGTTATCATTGGGCAATAGCTCTTTTATGTGCTTTTATTATTTGTGTTTTTGCCTCAACATTGGCAATGCTAGTTCTTTATTGGACAAATAGAAGGTGGAAAAATAAAAAATAATAAATTATTAATTTTAAATAATTAAAGGAGAAATGCTCATTCACGTCGCCAAATAATGTTATCAGAAAAATATTCACTAGGAATTATTGGTAGTTCAACAGCATCGCAACAAAGTAGTGGAACATGTCCGGGAAGTAGTTATGGAACCCCTTCATTAATTGAATCCACTACAGCTAATGGACACATTCCGTTGGTTAGAAATATTTTTTATACTATAATTTTATTTATTTTTAAAGCATTTTTATAATAATCATCAACAACAAAATAAATACTTTCGTAATTTATATACACCAACATCTCCCCCTTCCTCCAATATTTCTCCTTCAACAGAACGTCATCGTTCTGTTGGCGGTTATTTAATTGCTGAACCTCCACAACATTTACTTAAACCCTATCAATCTGGCAAATGCCTTCCTCGGCATAGAGATGGAGGTTTTTCTATATCACCTCCAATAATTGATACATCAACAGCTAATTATGCATATAACCCTCCAGATGAAATTTATTTTAGATCATCTTTTTAAGAAAAATATATTTTTAAAAAATTATTCTTTTTAAATATTTAAATTTAAAGCTGTTTTTGTGAATTTTTAAGTAAAAGCCAGAGAAAATTAGAATAATCAAAAAATAAAATGCTGAATTAATTTTTTCTAAAAGTATGACAATAATACTTGTATAATATTTGAAATAAATTAGGATATTTTGTTTGAGAGTTGGTAAAACGATAAAAAATCCAAATTCTTACACCTTCTTGTAAAATCTTTATTTACCAATCAAAGAATTTCAAAAGTGTGGATTAATTTTAATAAAAACAAAAACAAACATCCAATTATCGTTATCTCAAAATCCGAAAATCAACGGAAGCTACAAAATGTCGGATTAAAAATTAGGGTTCCAAGAATTTTGGAACAAAATGTTCTTGTTAATTTAATTATGAAATATTTTTCTTCCTATTAAATTGGTGAATTAAAAATAAAAAATGCAAATAATATTTTATTATTTAAAATTACAAATCATTAAATTAATAAAACTATAATTATATAGTTCATTAATATTTTCTTTTATTTCTTTCTTCACTTTAATTGAACATTTATTTACCCCTTAATTAAAAATATGAAATTTGAAAAAAATTAAATATTTTACACGCAAGGTGGAATAACCAATTTTCCATGAAATCCGCGACAAGGAGTTCTACATTGGGGTTTGAAATTAATATCTTGACAATTTTTACAAGCAGAGCAGCTAGCAGTGCAAGGTGGGCCACAGACACGATTGAAACATGCTTGACAACTCTAAAATTATTTTTTTATTGAATTAATTTTATATACCTATGTCATAAATAGTTTGACTGTAATGAGATTATAAACTATTTCGATGCACCTGAACGAGACGAGTTGTTTGGTATTTGGTACCAAAATTACTCGAATTGAACTATTTTGAACGAAGTTATGATCAGCTAAACTTTGGCATGAAAAATATTTTTAGATTTTTCGACTGTTCAGACTCGCTTTTCTTTCTACTCAGCGAACCAAATTTTCAATGTTTGGTATCAGCAATCTTCCTAAAGTATTAGGAATGTAGGAAAAAGAGACTTATTAATTTTCGTTTAAAATTAAAAAAAGTTATAGCCAAAACAAAAGCGGCCGCTAATTTTACTATACATATACCTATGTATAATTCGAATAATTTCTTGATAGGGTAAAAAATATTTTTTATAAATATTTTTTATTTAAATTTATCCATTCAAGCTTCTCCCTACCTCAGCATTGGTATATTCCGGCATTAACATAGCAAACAATAAAATTGAAGAGACAGCCAGAAAGAAAATAAATTTTTGGGAGGCCATATTTAAATTTATTTTTTAAAAATTAAAAGTTTATTTATTTGTTGTTAATTTAAAAATATTTTCAAGCCTTTTATAGGTACGGGATTTTAATGGCATTGACGAATTTTAAAAGTTTATTTGTCAAAACAAACATTTTTCTAAAATTTTTAATCCATCATTTAATAAAAAGTGTTTGGTTGTACCATTATATTTATTTTTATTTTTAAAATATTTTTTTACTAATTTTTTATTAAAACTTTATTTTTTTTATTTAAATTAGTAAGGTATTTTTAATGAATTAAAATTCAAATCTGTGTAGCGATCAAGGTCAAACAACTAAATTTTTAACACGCAAAATTCATCACATGTTTAGTAATAAATAAAAAAACACTCAAAATAATATAATTAGATTTTCTACATATATTTATTTTTTTTAATTTAATAATTATTTTTCCAATTTTTTATTAGAAAAATCTTTTTCTTTTCCCAATATTATTTCATTGTTAATTCTAATTTATGTTAAATATTTAGGTTGAAAATAATTTATTAAATATTATAATTCTAACTAATTTTGGACTGTTGAATTTGTTAACCGATAATAAAAATATTTATGAAAATTCAGTTAATAAATTATTTATTTTTCCTTAATCAAAATACCTAATTATGTAAAATTAATTGTTCATTAAAATAACTTATTGGAGGATTAATATTTTTTCTATAGAATCTCTAATTTCTTTTTCATGATGAATGTAATATATAAGTACCACTTCAATTGCCTAATCTTGTGAAAGTTAAATTTACTACCTTAATTTTATTTATAATTTATTAGAAACATTTACAAAAAATTTTTTTATTTTATTTATCTTTTTTAAATCTTTAATTTCTTTTCTTCATTTGATCTCCTTCCTCAAAGGCATTATGCTTGAATAAACGGTTGAGCAGGAGCATACTGAGGTGGAGCACCATATGGTGGAGGGGGTGGTGGAGAAGGAGGAGGTGGAGGTGCATATGTTGGTGGTGGAGCATATCCATAACTTTTTGGTGGAGGTGGTGGTGGTGGTGGTGGGGGAGGTGGTGGTGGAGCATATGTCGGCGGAGGAGCATATCCATAACTCTTCTGTGTTGGGGGTGGTGGTGCATATGTTGGTGGTGGAGCATATCCATAGCTTTTAGGTGGCGGTGGTGGAGGCGGTGGCGGTGGAGGAGGTGGCGGAGGAGGTGGAGGAGGTTTGTAGTAGGCCGGTGTTGGAGGAGGTTGTGTTGGAGGAGGTGCATATGTCGGCGGAGGAGCATATTCATATTTTGGCGGAGGTGGAGGTGGGGGAGGCGGCGGTGGTGGAGGTGGTGGCTGAAAATTATTTTAACTATCATTTATTTATGCCCGTAGGTTCAAGCTAAGGGTGCAGCAAATGTTTAGAATAATTTTAAAATTATGTTAGAAATTTTATAAAGTCTTAGTTTTTCTTTTATTTTCTAACTATTTATAAAATCAAATAAAAGACCATTTACCAAATATGCCTAATTTATTTTCTATTAATTTATTTACCTGATAGTTTGCCGCACTATATGCCACAACAAGTAAGAAGGAAAGAATTATAAACTTCATTTTTTAACTAATTTTAAATTGATATATTTTATTTAATTTTTTCTTAACTTTTATAGCAATTTTAATAACATTTAAATCAATTTAGCATTTAATAATAATTTAATATTTTATTGGAATTTTAGAAAATGTTAAGTGTGAATAGAGAGAATATTTGTCATTATTTTAAAGAAAAAGAACTTTAAAAATATTAATTTGAAGTAAAGGAATTTGCGGAGAATATATTTTAATTACTAAAAATTAAGAACAAAAACAGATAATTTATTTAATAAAATTCTATTAATAAAATTAATTTTTAGTTTTATTTTTTTTAATTAATCGTGAAATTAATTTTGAAGTTTTTTAATTTAAAAAATAAAAAAAAATTTTTAATTTTGACTGCAATTATTTATTTATTTAAAATATTTACGGACTAATAACATTTAAAATATAAAGAATTATTAGTTATATATTAATTTGTCATTCATTCGGGAAATTACTAATAAGTAAATGTTAATAAAATTAATTTTACGCTAAGACAAAAATTCAGTAATCTTTTTTGTAATGCTGATTGCTAAAGTAAATAAATAAATATTTAAATAATTAATTTTAAAAATAACAGTATTTTTAAATAATAATTTTAAATAATTTCTCTTAAATATTTATTGGTAATTAACAAAAAATTCTATTAAAAACTATTTTTAAATTCCTATTTTCTATCTAATTAAATCTTCAATTGTTTCTATTTTAATGTAAAGATGATTGAAGATATTGTAGAGGTATGTCTATGCGATCTCCTCAATTAAAGGATATTTTTCGTTATATTTAGGCTTCAAAAAAGGTGTTTGGATGCATATTTAAGGATATTTAGAATTTATTTTTATTAATTTCTGAAATAATTTTTACTACATATAATTGTCTAAAGTTATCTTTAATAATCTTTAATATTTTTCAATAGTACTTATTATTAGTTCAAATGGCGGCATTCCTCATTTTAGTATTTTTATTAGAGGATAATTTTAGTTAAAATATTCATTTTAACTTAAAACTAGAAATCTTGTTCTAAAAAATTAGATAATAACTAACACCGTATACTCGCTAATAAGACAACTTTTTACTTAAGTGGCTTGAATTCGAATTTGAATTTTGGATTGAGTACCTGAGCCAGACCTGTTCTGTGTGAACAGTCCTGTCTGGAAATACTCAGGAATTATGGTGTGAATATATTTATACATAACTGTTAAAAATTTTACATAATATAATAAAAAAATGGAGTAAAATTGTGAAAAAAAAAGATATTTAAAAAATTAGGACTGTTAATATTTTGAAATTAAAAAATATTATCTAAAAATATCATAAAATAAAAACAGTCCTATCAAATAAAATACAAATGATATATGTAAAACATATGTAATATATGTAAAATATATGTAAAACATATGTAAAACCAAAAAAATTTAAAAAATAAAAAAAAAAAACTTTTAGATATCCCAGTTTTTTACTCTCCCATCTTTAAAAATCCCAAAAATCTTAAAAAATCCCATTTTAAAAAATCCAAATAATCCTTATAAAGGACAAAAATTTGCTTCAGCAAAAATTGCAACTTCTTTAGCTTGTTCACTCATCATTTACAAATCATTTTACAATTAAGGGTTTGCGCATGTTGTTGAAGGGTTTGCGCTCGTTGTAACGAACTTTAAATTAAAAATAAAATGTATTAGATATAGAAGATTAAATTGAAAGAGTGTAAATAATTTTCATATTTTTCCAATTCATATAGAAATTATTATTTGACCTTTAGGATTGTGAACAGTCTGTTGAGCATGATGTTGATTGTTATAATTTGCACCACCCATATGTAAATTTTGGCTTGGTTTATATCCAAAATTTGGACCACCATATTGTTGTGATGGCACATGACCCTCGCTATATATGAAGGGAACATTAACGTTTTGTCGTGAATGATTCGGTAAAATTTGGTTTGGATTAAATTCAAAGTTTTGGTGATTTGGTGACATATTCTGATCAACAGGAGATATACCAGAATTTATAGGGTGCTTAGAACTGAAAAAAGAATCTCCAGTTTGCTTCTTTGACAAAATAGGATTAAGATCGAAATTGGAACTAAAGAGCTGAACAATTGGGAGAGGATTTCCTTTGTTGTTTAGATCATATTCTTGATCATTCAAATTTTGTTTACTTGGAACTACTTCCATATTTTGTTCTAAAGTATTCTTCGGGTCCAATATTTTCGGAGTTTTTGCAGTATCATTCTAAATTTTAATTTTTTATTTAATATTTTTAATGATTTTTTAAAAATTATAATTTAATAGAATAAAAGTATTTTATTAATCTTTTTATTTTAATTATTTAAAAATACTTTTCTATGTTCATTTTCATGAAGAGTAAACGTCGGAAGAATTTTTTGTTCAGACAAAATTTTGCTTTGGGCTGGAACATACTCTTTGGCATTAGAGTTCAATCCATACTTAATAATTGGAAGTTTTCCATCCTTTGTTTGTGTTACAAGTTGTTTAGAACCCTTATCATCGTTTGTGGATAAATTATCAGAACTATAATATTTTCAATTCTAGATATATTAAATATTGTAAATGCTCTAATATAAACCCTGGGCTTATATCTTTAAACAAGGCATTTTTGGGTGGGCTTATATTGAGGTGGGCTTCTATTAGAGAGTGGACTTTTAATTAATGGGTTTCCTCGGGTAGGCTAATATTAGAAATGGGCTTATATTAAAGCAATAAAAATTTAATTTAATTTTTACTTATTTTTCTGGATCCATTTCATTTTTTTCTGTTCATCAAACTTGAAAATTTATGTTTTTTTTCTTAATTTTAAAATATTTACTCTGTTTTGATTATTTCTTGTATGCGAAGGAACATAAGGACCGTTTTTACTAGAATTTGAAGTATTTCCAGAATTTGTAGCAATCTTTTTTTCGAGCGGAGCAACAGTTGGACTTGCATAATTGGATTTAACTTTCCCTTTTTATATTTATTTTTAATTATTTTATTTTTTTTAATTAAATCAAAAAATATGTATATAAATATATTAGATTAAATTTAAAAAATAATTTTATTACCATTTTTCCAAACAATATAATCGTCTAATTCTTAATTTAAAAATTAATTTTTATATAAGTTAGTTTAATTTATTTTTACTTTTTGACTCTAAACTTTGTTCAACTCCATTAGAATCTTTTACTAATCTGCTGCCTTCTTCCGAAACTTGAGGAGGACTATGAGGAGGCGAGTGACTATCTAACACAGCTTTAAAAGTCTTTTGTTTACTTTCACTAACTTTATCTTCAATAGTTCCTCCAGAATTTTCGAAACAAATTAAAAATAATAAAAATAAAATTCCAAAGAATTTTAAATAAATCATGTCAAGATTAAAAGAATTCTTTAATAAATTCTTTTTTTTTTAATTTTTTTTAACTTCTAAATTTATTTAAATTAATAAATTTAAATAATTAAGAGGAATATAAAAATTAGATGTAGACGAGTAAATGAATTTAAAATTAAAAAAAGTCTTATGAATTAAAATCTATTGTTTAGAGAGGGGAGGGGGGAGGGGAGGGATTGGAGAGGGATTGGAGAGGGATGGAGGGGGGAGGGATTGGAGAGGGGAGGGGGGAGGGGAGGGATTGGAGAGGGGAGGAGATGGGAGGGGAGGGAGGGATTGGAGAGGGGGAGATATCCGACTTGCAATTCATCCCTTTCTCACCTCCCCCCCCCCTCAAACGCACGTTTGAGGGTGACAGATTTTATTGTTGAAGCGCGAAAATTGATTCTTTTTAAAAATAAAATTAAAAAAAAAGTTTTTTTATTAATTAAATAATTTAAAATACATACATACATATAAATTATTATGAACAAAGATTATTATTATTTTCACAAAAGAGGATTATTGTTGGGAATGTTGTTTTATTTTTGTCAATTTATTAGTTTTACAAAGCAACTTCTATCCCCTCTATTGTTGAAAACGGATGGGCAGGAAAAGCGAGATATGGGAAGCAGACTTGACAATTGGCATTTCCCCCACAATGCTCTCCCTCCTTCCCCTTCCCTTCTCTCTCTCTACAAGAAATCTATTGTTGAGAGGGGATGGGCAGGAGAAGCAAGAGAGAGACTTGAGAGAGACTTGACAATTGGCACTTTCCCTCCCTGCTCTCCTCCTTCCCCTTCTCTCCTCTCTCTACAAGAATAACGCACACGCATTGACATTCAATTTCAAGGGAGGTTAAGAGTTTTTAGAGAAGCAGTCTCGACTTTTCGACAAAAAAAAGTTTTTTTAAAGATTTTGTCAAATAATTAATTTTTTCTGAAAGAATTTGCCTAAAAAATAATCCATGTCAAAAAATTTTTGGTCAGTGTAGATAAACTTTTGCACTCCAGTAAATGTATATTTTTAAAATATATAATAAATTATATCCTTTTTGTTTTTTATTAACAAATAAAGTTAAATTAGTAAATTATATTCCATAAAATCAAAATTATCTAGTTAATCATGATAGCACAGCGTTCTATATTATGGCTGCCAATTTGGTCTAGGAGGATGTGTTTTAGCGAAGTTAGCCTTTTATCTTCTATTCAGACCTCGGCTTAATTCGATCTCGAGGGTGATTGTATATCTATTTTAAATTTTTTCACTTTTTTTAAATATCAAAATTGATTTTTTATTTAAATTTAATTTCCTCCTCCAATAAGCGCGCAAATTGATTTAAAATTTTTTTTAAATTAAAAAGTCAATAAATTTAAATAAAATAAAAATAAAATTTATTAAATAAATAAATAATTTAAAATATTTATAAACAATTTTTAATACAGGGCGTCCAGAAATGAAAAAATATTAAAGCAAAATCCAACTAAAAAGCGGACAAGGGACGAATACTCGAAGCGATAATTTAAATTAAATCCTTTAAAACATCTTTTTAAATTAAAATTTAGTTTATAAATTTATTACAAATTTATGCATATTATTTTAAAGCAAATATTTTGGTAATTATTTTTAATTTAATTGTTTATTACATCAATTATTTCTTAATTTCAAATTCAATATTATTTTAACGTCCACCAGAAGGAGGGCCATAATAAGTATCGTGTCCTAAAATAGTTTTTAATTTAAAAATTAAAAAATAAACTTACTAGGCACCCATCCAGTAATACCATCTAAAAATCCATTCAATTGTTGATAACTAGGTAAACTTCCATAAAATTCTCTTTTTACACGTTTTAGATTTTTAAGATGGTTTAAATATTTTTCAAAAATAATGGAAGGATCTTCCTGGGGAGGATTCTTTAATTCCTCTTCATTTGCTTTAATTATTGTAGAAAAAATTAAAACAAAAATTAAATTAAGGAAAAATAATTTATTTAGCATTTTTAATTAATTATGGATGAGGAGAATTGGTTGTGTTAATTATTCAATAAATATGCTTATTTAAATAGTTTTACAAATTAATTATTCTGTGTGTGGTCCATTTTTTTGTGATCTGTGCATATACATAATTACCAATTTTTAATTTTTTGACTTTAAAAGCTTCCATAAATATTTTTTCTAAAATTAGAATAATCAAAAAATAATGTAAGTTTATTTAATTAGGTATTTAAAATAGGACATCTAAACAAATAATAATATTTATTTAAAATTTTATTAAAGAATAATTTACTATCTTTTATTGGAAAATTCTAAAAATCAGTTTTTGAAGTTTACACAAATGCTTGAATAGACCACACAGCCATAATATTTTAATTATATTTAAATAAGCATTTCAAATTACTGATTAACCCATCATTCCCTCACTTTCCCCCTCTCTAAATTTAAATAATGTCAAATAAATTAATTTTATTTATTTTTGTTTTTGTCTTAATTTACATTCAAATAAATGCTAAAAATAATAAAAATTTACAAAAATCCCCAAATAATCGAAAAGAATTTATTGAACAATATTTAAATCATCTTAAAAATCTAAAACGAGTAAAAAGAGAATTTTATGGAAGTTTACCTAGTTATCAACAATTAAATAGATTTTTAGATGGAATTACTGGTTGGGTGCCTAGTAAGTTTATTTTTTAATTTTTAAATTAAAAATTATTTTAGGACACGATACTTATTATGGCCCTCCTTCTGGTGGACGTTAAAATGATCAAATTGAAATGTGAAATGAAGAATAATTGATGTAATAAACAATTAAATTAAAAATATTAACAAAATATTTGCTTTAAAATATGCATAAATTTGCAATAAATTTATAAACTAAGTTGTAATTTAAAAGGATGTTTAAAAGGATTTAATTTAAATTATCGCTTCGAGCATTTGTCCCTTATCCGCTTTTTAGTTGGATATCGCTTTACTATTATTTTAAATTAATTATTATTAAAAAAGAAAAATCATATTTAAATCAAGGCTAGAAATTGTACGGATTTTGCCTGATTCTGAGGTTTTTGATAGACGATTCAATTTTGAAATAATAATAAAAAAAAAAACGATGCTATATAAACTTAAAAAATATTTTAGGATTAAATAATTTAATTAAAACTTCGAAAAAAATAAATGAAAAATCTAAGAGACAGACAAAGAATTTTATACTTTAAATAAATAAATATATCTGATTTAATGTTTAAAATTACGCGAGAATAATGTGAAAGTTAAAAGTTTATAACTACTGTTTGTCTCTCTCAAACTTTTACATAAAATAGTTCAGAATACAAAACATTTCAGCTCTTGTCTAAGGCATGAAAAGTAAACCAAAAATTTACCCTATGGGACAAAAAAATTGCCTTCAGTCTTGTTAATTTTTGATCGAGTCGTGAGAACATGTTTTGGTCTTGAACATCTCTTCAGAGCTATTTCGTACAAAAAATCTTCGAAAATCAGTAATTAAATAGCGCCAATTTCAGATCGTTACAGGAATCCCTATACCCGAACCCGATGGAGAAAAAATTGAAAACCAGTTTACATAACAAAAAAAATCCCATTTGAAAAATTTAAATAAAGTGTTTTTACTTATCCAAATACTTCTTATCTACAAATTTACAAAGTTCTTTTCAAATCTTCATAAAAACATTTTTCCTCAAACATTTGCAATCATTTTCCGTGTGGAGGCATTCCATGAAGAAATCCTTGTCCAGGATTTGGAGGTTGTGAAAGATTTCCTTGTGGGGGTATTTCGTGTTGATAATTCAGGTGGTAA